GAGCAAGGCCGAAGACTACCAATTTGGAGAGCCTTCAGCATATGTTCTTATCGCTTCGAGAAGATTCAAATGACAACTAAGTTTTTATCTTGGAATGTGAACAGATTAAATTCACCACAGAAAAGGAAGAAATTGTTTAATTACTTGAGACAATTTAACAATGATATTATTTGTTTACAAGAAACTCATATTCGAAAACAAGACCAAAAATACTTGATAAACTCAAGATTAGGAACACAATTTATAGCCTTGAATTTGGAAAAAAAGAATGGTGTAGTGATTTATATAAATAAAAGACTCTCAGCTAAAATTATAGAAGCAGATGATTGTGGCAGGTTTATAGCAGTTGAACTTTACACAGCAAGTGGTCCAATTCTGGTGATTGGAATTTATGCCCCTAATCAACAGCAAGAAAATTTTTACAAAACTTTGCATTCCAAAATATTGCTATGCAAGCCTGTCACGACTCTAGATTAGCTGGTCACTTTGGTTTTGTGAAAACTTTACACTTATTAAAACAGTAACTCTGGTGGCCTTCATTGAAGAAGGATGTGGAAAACTATGTAGCAAGCTATCCGATTTGCGCTGCTGTTAAACGCAGGCAGGGGAAGACCCCCGGTCTACTCCAGCTGGTGGCAGACCCTTCATCAACCTGGAGAGAGATCTCCATGGATTTTATTGTAGAATTGCCTGAGAGTTCCGGGAACACAGTAATATGAGTTGTCACGGATCTCTTTTCGAAGCTGGTCCACTTCATACCATGCCAAAAGATCCGTACAGCAAAAACCTTAGCTAAGCTATTTTTATTACAGATATATCATTTTCATGGTGCACCTCAACACATTATTTCAGATAGAGGGTTCCAATTTACCTCCAAGTTCTAGAAAGCCTCCTTGGACCTTTTCGGAACCAAACAGGGACTTAGTTCTATTATTTATTTATTTATTTATTTTATAGTTCAATTTATATGCCGCCCTTCTCCGGAGACTCAGGGCGGCTTACAATGCATTAAGCAATAGCTTTCATACTTTTGTATATGCCTGCTTAGTAGGGCTTTCGCCCCCCCCCCCCAAAAAAGCGGTGTTCTTTTTTTATACAAAGTCAGCTTATTGCCCCCACAATCCGGGTCCTCATTTTACCTACCTTGAAAGGATCGAAGGCTGAGTCAACCTTGAGCCTCATGAGATTTGAACTTGCAGTTCTAGTCATCATCCACAAATGAATGGGGCAATGGAACAAACTAACTCAGTTCTAGAGTAATACCTGCATTATTTTATTAATTACCAACAAGACAACTGGACCGAACTCCTACCTTTTACGGAACTTGCATATAACAATGCTGTACACACTAGCACTGGAATTACCCTTTTCAGAGTAGCCACAGGGCAAAAAATTAATGCCATGCCTGAATTGCCCTCAAAGGAACCAGATATTCCCTCTTTAAAACAGTGACTAAATCACCTGCAAACCACCTGGCCAGTTGTCTGCAAGGCACTAGACAAAGCCAGAGTGGCCTGTAAGGCTCAAGCTGATAAGAAAAGAATTTAACCTAAGCCTTACAGGGTGGATGACAAGGTCTACCTCTCCATCAGATTTCTAAAATCCTTGCAACCGTCCAAGAAGCTAGGTCCTAAATACATTGGTCCTTTTCCCATCTGCATTATTAACCCTGTCACAGTGGAACTGCAACTTTCTAAGTCATTATGGAAGTCCACCCCATTTTTCCTTGTAGCCTGCTAAAGCCTGAAATCACCTCTGACCTCCATCCCACTCCTTCCCCTGTTCCACAACCTATTATGGTCAAAGGTGAACAGCATTTTGAAGTTCAGGCAATCCTGGACTCTAGGAAATTCCATGGAGCCACCCAGTGCCTGCTGGCATGGAAACACCTCCCTTTCTCACAAAACGAATGGGTTCACAAGAAACATGTAATTGCTCCAAAATTGACAAAATTTGTTTCATCAATTGTATCCTGACAAACCTCACTGATTGTATATTTTGTTGTCTCCCCTTCCCTATTTCTATTTCCTTCAGGTAGACTTCCCATTTTTCTAGGGGGGGGCATGTCAGGTCCCATAAATTCCTATAGGGATGCTGTCATTCTGGTGGAAGGGGGGAGGTTTAGGGGAATCTCTATATGGGGTTTTTGTTTCTATTTCTTGCTTTTCTTTGCTGTAACTTTCGGGACCTTGGGAGGGGAAAAGGAATGTACCTCAAGCAGCTGTCTTATCTTGTCTGTGGAGAGAAGCAGCAGTATTGCCTTGGAGAACAGCGTTTATCACCCTCTCGGCCTGAGTTTCTCATAAAATCATCACACACCAGGATTGGCTCAATGATATATTGGACTTTGGGAGGGGCTCTGTCTGCAATAGTTTAACGTTTCAAGCCGGAAAAGTTGATTCCTGCCTACATCTCTTGCAGTCACAATCTTCCAATAAAATTTCCTTTTGAAATGGCTTTTGTTTCAAGAGTTCTGCTTTCTTGAGAAGATTGGTGAGGCAGGACCTTACACGTATCCTTTCCTGTTATTTGTGCTGCGCTCACTGTGAGCACAATATTTAACTATGGCTAAGGGTGGCCTAGTATCTAAGACACTGGGCTTATCAACTAGAAGGTTGGCAATTTAAGACCCATGTGACAGAATGAGCTCCCATTCTTGCCCCAGTTCCTACCAATTTAGCTGTTCAAAAGCAGGAAAATGCCACTTTGATGAGAAGGTAACAGCCTTCCATGCACCTCAGCATATAGTCATGCCAGCCAGATGACCACAAAAGTGTCTTCAAACATTGTGGTTCCCTCATTTTGAAACAGAGATGAGCACTGCCCCCTAGAGTCAGACACAACTGGACCAGGGAAACCTTTACCTTTTAAAGACTCGATTTAGAATTGCCCTGATATTGCCCATATAATATTAGCACAGATGCTCCTTTATAGGCAACTGAATAGTGTTTGATACCTGGATACTTTTCTTCTTGTAGACATTAAGAAAAAGAAAATAAAAAAATATATTGGAGTAACCTTGCTAAATTTATTTATTAAAAATGTATGTATGTATGTATGTGTGTGTGTGTGTGTGTGTGTGTGTGTGTGTGTGTGTGTGTGTGTATATATATATATATATATATATATATATATATATATATATATATATATACACACACACACACACATACACATACATACATATCACAGATGAAGATAATTAAAGTGACAGTGTTTTTATACATTGTATTACATTTTCTACTGTAATCTGCTTTTGAGTTCACTTGTGAAATATATATATATATATATATATATATATATATATATATATATATATATATATATATATTTCACAAGTGAACTCAAAAGCAGATTACAGTAGAAAATGTAATACAATGTATAAAAACACTGTCACTTTAATTATCTTCATCTGTGATTTGAGAATGGTCATTAACTAAATTATCCTTATTATATATCTTATCCTTATAATATCCTATATTATCCTTATATATATCTTATTATATAAGATGATCTCACTCTTTACTTAAATCTTTACCAGCAAGAATCCAACTGTTACTATAGTATAATTAACACTTTCTATTTGTGGGAACTTTTTATGTTGTGATCCTAGAGCCCTAAACCGACCCTGCTACAGTAATAGTCGGCATAGAATCAATGCTGTCACTACAAGCTCTTGATCTCTTTTGTGGTAGAGATTCCTAAGCCTAAAATACTAGAAATGGTCAAGACTTTTGAGCTAAATTATAATTGATTCCCTTGAGTCCATCTGCAGTTGTGAATTGGCACTGTCACTTCCAATATATTTGCAAAACACTGGAATTATTGAACCAATTCTGGTACTACACCCAAGGTAACCCAAGTTTGAAACTCTCCTTAAGACAAAAGAGTGCTAGGTTCCATATCAGAAGCTGCCCCTTTAGGCCTTCCGACTCCAAGATTAACATCAGACCAACAATCAAGTAAACAATACCCCAATCAAAAAACTGCCAAGGAAGCCAACAGTAAACATCCCAACTAAAGAATCTCTAAGACCACTCCACCAACACTAACAGGGCAACACACTAGAATATAAACTGACAGCAAACTTCACTCCTTACTAGTTCTGATGATGTTACCTAGTTTAGGTAATGAAACGTCTGCAAGAAAACAAGCAAACTCAGACAGCACCAAAGATCTCGCCTTTCTACTTTGCAAGAAAGTAGTGGTATTTGAGCGGAAGTTCTTCAGTTCTTAAAACAAGTAGACTTTCTATAATCTACAAAACATCGGCCTCATTTCCCAGTTCTGTTCAGGCCTAGATCACTATTTTATGTAGTTTAAAATCACTCTCTTTGCATATTATTAAAAGCATCTGTTATGAGGCCAATGTGCAGTTAGCTGAGCAAAGATTTAATGATGTACCTAAGTTTTTATATATTTAACCAGTATGGAGGCAAATAGCTGTATCTACGTTGCTAAAGATATGTGGAGAAAGTGCTTAAACTGGCATTTTAGGATCATGCGTCTGACTTTTAAATGATTATATTTGTTTCAAACTTACCTTTTTATTATAAAATAAATGATGCCCACAATCAGGTAAAATATTTGTAATCCATTACATAAATTGAAAAATAGATTATGAGTTTGTGTGCATCATACAGATATGCATATACAATTATAAGTAGAAGGAAACATGCATGTCTGAAGCCAAAACTAAACCCATTTGTATATTCCACCATATAACTCAGAGTGGCAGTGGAAAGAGAATAGATTAAGCAACATTATTCTTAAGGTACTGGTCTCAAAGATCTCTCTGATCAATAACTCAAGAAGATAGAGGAAAGATGCATGTGATTGCTGAAAATCAGAAGATTTATCTGGGTTTGTATGGTTTGGGATATAATTTGACTAATTTCAAATATCAGCATAACCACTACAAAAAATAGTGGAAATGTACCTTCTTATAATGTTGATGTTGCTTTGCTTCACAGCAATGAGAATACTATAGTACAAATTTGTACAGGTTGTGAACTTTATAAACGACACTTTTTTTAAAAAATGCCTGTTCTTTTCTACATACTACATGTTGAATTATCCTGTGCTTGTGAGAAACCATTCAATAATATCGGATCTGGTTGGGTCAAACACCAGGATGGGAATGCTACACAGCAAAATAATATAGGTCTGCATTTGATCGATGCAATTCTGAAGCAATAGTAGGCCAGTGAAATGAAGGCATGAATTCTACACAGGATTTCAGAGGAAGCACTACCAAATTCGACAGGAATCTGCACCTCGATTCATTGTAGTATTTTCTGGACAGTTGAAAGCTTTCCGGAATTCCTCAAAATTACTCATAGCAGCAATAACTCTAAAGTGGAGAAAGAAAAGGTACATTTGCAAATTAGTTTAATACTGTGCCTCATATTCTTAATACATATACTTGTAGTGATTTCAGGCTACAAAATCTTCATTTTGATTTTCTGTAGAAAAACATATGCTAGGATCCAATCTGGGTTGATCACTGGGACCAGCAGTTTTATCTTCTGAGCTTTCGGACTTGTACTGGAGCCTATCTTCAGGAAACTCTCTGACAGAATGAAGCAGAGTAAACACACTCTGCTAGAGAGAATTCCTTAAAGATGGGCTCCAGTACGAGCCCGAAATCTTGGAAGACAAAACTACTGGTCTCAGTGACCAACCCAGATTGGATCCTGAAATATTATCCTGAGACACATTTTTTTCCCTGCATTCATGAAACATGCTAACTCAAGCTACCACTGCTATGGCATCATACCATTCCAGATAACATGTAAAATCCTTTAAAAGGTTCACCGCCCACTTCCTGGGTACATTAGGTGACAATATTTGATAGTGATTTCAGGCTACAGAACCTTCATTTTGATTTCCTGTAGAGAAAGATATGGTAATTCAAGCTAGCTCTGCTACTGCATCATACCATTTCAGTTAACATATAAAATCCTTTAAAAGGCTCACCACTTTAATGTACCCGCGTACATTAGGTAATATTATTTGATAAATTAAATAATATTTCATTATTTAATTAAATAATTGAAGACAAGATGCCCAAGGCAAGACACAATCTTGTTGATGAAGATATACCATTAATTTGTATTTCATTCCAGCTTGTCAGGCATTCTAGTCTCCTGCTTGTTCCTTGCCTGCAGCAGCACATTAAACAGGGATCTCAACAATGGTGCCTGAAATTTTATCCTGATACTTTTCTTTCCTGAACATTGTTGACATATTACCAATAATTCATGTACTTTATATTAAATTTAACTTTACTTTTAATTGTTAAAGCTGTTTTTTCATTAAAAGTGTCCATTTGATCCAGTATCATTCAAGCTTTTCAACATTATCTAAACTCCCTATTTAAAAAACAAAAAAAAAATGTGTCATAATTGAATTATTATCCTTCACTGCCTAACTCATCATGTGGGGGAAGCTATATTACTGGAAGATGTATTTTCTCATTCCAAATGGTTATCCATGTGAGGTGCTTTTAATCTTTCTCTTTCAGAAGACAGACATTCAGGGCAACAAATCTTTTAAATACAGATAAAACTAGAAGAGGACTCCCAGCACTTTTCTATGGATGCAATTACATTTCTAAAGATATATGAAAAAGCTCCACCAGTTAGGGATGAAGAAGAGAACTGTGTGAGTTGGGATTTAATTTTTGGATGATACTAAACTGGCAGGAATAGTGGGGACTTCCGGTTGGTGCCACGGCGATCCAGACAGGGAAATAGCGGGGCTCTAACGAGCCCCGTGAAAACCCCATCTGTTGAGCCGCCGCCAACAGGTCTGCAGACCTACCCTGTCCTGGAGGGATGGGGGAAAGAGAGGGACCCCTCGGATGGCCGAGAGGAACGCGCAGATTCCTTGGGGCCGGAGGAAGCCCTCTGCACCGGCAGTGGGGGAGCGGCAGCCATGGCGGTTGCCTCGAAGCCGGGGCCAACCGGGAAAGCATTGTGCAGGAGGAAGAAGCAGGAAAAAGAGCGAAGAGCTCAGAAGCCGGGTGAGTGAGATCCAACCCAGGCGGGAGCAGCGCTTAAATGATGGCTATTAACAAGTGTGCCCCTAGCCTTAAAAGTGATTTTTAAAGCAGAAAAAATGTGATTTCTATAGAAAAATAAGAATAAATATGAAGAGAGAAGATTTTAAGGGAAATTTATAACCTAAGAGAAAATATATGAGAAGATGGTTGTTGAAATACATGTTTATATAAAATTGGGAGATATGGAGGAGAATATGATGAAAAAGCAACTATGTAATAGGCTGTGAATTTGTCAAATAAAACAGCCAAAATAATAGATCTAGGAAAGCATGCTGGTAATACTAGCCAAACAAGAGATGGAGATTTGGAGGAGAATATGCTGGAAATCAGCCAAATTAGAATATGCTGGAAATCAGCCAAATAACAATGGGAGGTATGGAGGAGACTATGCTGGAAATCAGCCAAAATAGAACATGCTGGAAATCAGCCAAACAAAAATCAGAGGTATGGAGGAGAGTATGCTGTAAATCAGCTAAAATAAAAGATGCTGGAAATCCGCCAAACAATAGTAGGAGTTATGGAGGACGATACTGATGTTGAGATAAATTTGTCTAATATGAAATGTGTAAAATTAAAGGTAAACTCTTAAAGCTTAAGATTCAGAGATCTGTTGAAAGGGTCTAGATATTAAGAAATATACTGTAGATAGAACTTTCACATATAAATTAAAACAAAAATAGAGCTGTATTCAATTTGAAATTAAGATGTGTGGTGATAAAATTGTAAAGTAATCAATCAAATTAAGAGGTTAGAATATTTTTTTTTTAAAAAATTACGTTTTGATATTGTTGTTAAAAGGTTTAATGAAGGGAAGTTGGGAATGAGCCAGATATAATTTATAAATGGATATAAATTTATTTATTTATTTATTTATTTATTTATTTATTTATTTATTTATTATATTTCTATACCGCCTTTCTCCCGTAGGACTCAAGGCGGTGTACAGTCAAGAAAAATATAGACACACAAACATCATAAAATTGCTAATTAAAATTATTACTTAGTTTGGTCAATTAAATAAAACCCAGAATTAGATCACATTTAAAAACTCATTCACATGTTCATATGTTTAGCCCCGCCTGTTGGAACATCAGGGTCTTGAGGGCACGGCGGAAAGCACGGAGATCAGGGATATTCAGGATATAAAAATGAACTAAGGCTTTCTTTTTTAGGAAATTAAATTGGTGGTAATATAATAGAATAGTTCTGATCAAGATATTAGAATTCATGTTAAAAAAGTTTTTTTTAAGTTCTGATTTTTAATTTTAAAAGATATAATGGGAAATTGTGAATGGAGTTTTTTCTTTTTTTTTTCTTTTTTTCTTTTTTTAAAAAATGTAAGCGATAGTATCTATCTGTGACCGGATCGAGACTTCGCTCTTGAAAGATATATTTTATGTTTCTGTTGGAAAAAAAATAAAAAAATACTTTTCAAAAAAAAAAAAACCAACTGGCAGGAATAGCCAACACCCTAGATGAAACGGTCAAGATCCAGATGGATCTAGACAGACTTGAATACTGGGCCCTATCTAACAAAATGAAATTCAATGTAGAGAAAAGTAAAGTCTTATACTTAGGCAAGAAAAACCAAAAGTAGGGTTAGGGTTGCAGGAACTGGGCATGGCTAGTCTAGTGAAGAGAAGGACCAGGGGAGACATGATAGCAGTTGTTAGGAAATGATTATTACCTAACTTGTTGGGTTGGCAATATATAAACCATTGATATAGCTTTAAGACTGCTGTATTGCATCATAATGTGTCCTGATTGGTTAGCTCTGTAGCCAATGTCCTTAAGAGGGAGCTAGAAACATGGTTTGTTTCTTTTTGCTGACTGTTTGCTGTGTGCGCTTTACTGCTTTTTGCTGTGTTTGCTACTGTTTGCAACTGTTTATTGTGTATGACTACAATGACTGGTAAGAAGACTTTGTTATTGGATTATCCGTGGACTATTGTTTTAGTAAATACTGCTTTATACGTGTATGACCTGGACTGTTATTTGGACTGTGCCTTATTGCTATTTCCTAAAAGTAAACACAACTCAGTGTATCTGTGTGTTGGCTGTGTTTATTCCTAACTACTCTCAATCGCTTTCATGTGCACACCCTTGCTACTCAAGGGTTGCTCTGTGAATTCCTTAACATTGGTTATGGGCCTAGGATACTGAGAGTTAGTGTGAATACACAGTACCATATTCAGACAGCTGTTTTTGTGGTTTATTGTTCAAATGAAGATGGCACAAGAACAGTCAACCAGCATATCTCTGATAACCCGGTTGGATGGAACAAACTACGTTTCCTGGTCTATGAAGTACAGCCTACTTCTGCATAAGGAAGGACTATAGGCTGTAGTTCATGATCCACCAGATGTAACTGCTTGGAATCCAGCAGACGATGAGGATGCAAATAAAATAGCCAAATTTAACCAGGATAATAAAAAACCTCTTTGTATAATCGGACTGACAGTAAGTAACCAGCAGCTAGTCCATATTCGTGGTGAGGAGTCTGCTGCCAAGTGTTGGGACACTCTGAAGAGGATTTATGTTCATGATACTGTGGGTGCACACATATACCTTACACGTAAACTGTTTCGAGCTCGTCTTCTGAAAGGTGGAGATATGTTAGCTTATCTGCAGTTTATAAAAGGAACTTTACAAGAGCTACATGAAAAAGGAACTGATTTTCTCAGAGCTTCATCAGGTTTATATCATTCTTTCCTCTTTGGATGAAAGTTATGATGATTATGTATCAGAAAGAGTATGTATAGAAAGAGACAACCACAGGAAGAAAACCTGTCTTCAACTGCCTATACTGTTAGAAAATGTTTTTCTTGTGGGGCTAAGGGTCATATCGCTAGATTCTGTAAAAAGGGCAAGAAACTGAATAGTGGTAGTCAACAGAGAGCTAAAAAGGATTTTAGTTTAGCTATATCCAGCTCAACTACAACTGTAAACCATGATTTGTGGGTAGTTGACAGTGGAGCATTGCAGGCTATAACTAATAGTAGAGAGAGGTTTGTTAACATGACTAAGAATAAACAATATGTATCATTAGCAAATGGATGGAAGATGAAAGTATTTGGAGAAGGTACTGCATTGGGGTGAAATGCTCCTGGTTCGGACCGGATCGCCCAATCCGGTAGCGATGGAGGCGGGTGGTTCGGAGAACTGGTAGCAAAAATCCCCCCCCCATGCCCAGCTGAGCTGTACAATTATAAGAGGCTTTTTTTAAACTTTTAAAAGCATTTTTTCTACAACTTCGGCCGAAAAAATGCTTTTAAAAGTTAAAAAAA